TTGGAATTCAAGACTGCAAGCAATACAGTGCAACTCTGGCTAACTGAAGCAAAGGAAGATTTGTCAGAAGGACATTAGGAGTCACTGAATTGGCAGGAGGCTGGAAAACCACCCTGGGAATGGACAGGAGTCTGAGCAACACTGCAGTTTTGGTTTCAGAAACCTGCAGTCTAGCAGCAGGAACAGACTGCCAGGTCACTGCCCCCGCTGCTGGCCCTGCTGCCCTGTGCTGTCACTGCACAAATGAATGGCTTCTAACCCACGTTCTAATCCTTGCAACTGTCACTCAGTGTCCAATGTCTCAGGATAGACTATATGAATTGGGGAGAGGGAACTCTTTAAAAATTTTTTTTAAAGTTTATTTATTTTGAGAGAGAGAGAGAGTGTGTGTGAGTGGGGTAGGAGCAGAGAGAGGGAGACAGAGAATCCCAAGCAGGCTCTGCACTGCAAGCATACAGCCTGACACGGGGCTCGAACTCATGAACCATAAGATCATGACCTGAGCCGAAACCAAGAGTTAGATGCTTAACTGACTGAGTCACCCAGGTGTCCTCCCCTTTTGTTTAAAAAAAGTTTTTTTTTAGGGGAGAGGTAACTCCTTAAAAGGGTGGGGTGCCTGGGTGGCTCAGTCATTAAGTGTCCAACTCTTGGTTTTGGCTCAGGTCATGATCTCATGGCTCATGAGTTTGCGCCCCATGTGGGGCTCAGCGATGACAGTGCGAAACCTGCTTGGGATTCTCTGTCTTCCTCTCTCTGCTTCTCCCTGAGCACTCTCTCTCTCAAAAATAAATAAAAACTTAGGGAAAAAAAAGAAAAGAAAACCAGGGTGTTATTATGATGGAGAAATGGAAACTGCATAACCAAAAAACTATACACATTCACTATATCCAAAGCAGAGTCTGGTGAAGAACACTTGACTGGCTGCAGCTTGGTTTCCAGGATCTCAATCCCTCTTTTCTCCATGAAAATGTCTCTTCTCAGGTGTCTTGTCTATTGTATTCCCTATTTTTGGGTTGGCCACCTTATTCTGATCTTCTGGCTTTCTGTCCTCGTTTTTTCTTTGCTCTTTAAGGAATGATAGAAGAGGAAAGTAGGAAAGGGGGGGTAGAGATACTCTATTTCAACCCCTTCATTTTCTAAGGTCATTTTTATTTTATTATTTTTATTTTTTGAGAGAGAGAGTGCACAGAGGAGAGAGAGAGGGAGAAGGAGAGAGAGAATCTTAAGCAAGTTCCACACTCAATGAGGAGCACAAGGCAGGGCTCGATCTCATGACTGTGAGGTCATGCCCTGAGCCAAAATCAGGCCAGATGCTTTACTGACTGAGGCCCTCAACCTCTTCATTTTCTGAATAGATACGAGGTTTCCCCAGATCTTGACTTACATGTTTCTTTTTTTCTTTTTTTATTTCTGGGAGAGAGAGAAAGAGAAAGAGAGAGAGTGTGTGATTAGGGTAAGAGAGAGAGGGAGATACAGAATCTGAAGCAGGCTCCAGGCTCTGAGCTAGCTGTTAGCACAAACCCACGAACCGTGAGATCATGACATGAGCAGAAGTCAGATGCCTAACCAACTGAGCCACCCAGGAGCCCCTTGACTTAAATGTTTATGACTGTAGCCAATATTGGGTAGAGATTGTGTCTTATGCATCCTGGTATTTGTTTGGGAAGGCCATGGAGAATACCTGAATGCCTATTGACCTGTGAGCTAGATTCAGGTGATCCGAGGCTCTTGGCCCCCTCCTCTGTCCTTGGAGTATGGATTTCACTTGTCTTACCCATTTTGCTAAGAGCATAGCCTTGAGATAGTGATGTGATGTTGAGAATACCTGTGTGGTATAATACATAACTGAACCCAGTTACGGCCTCTACAAATACTTTTAAGATTTGACCGGCAGGGCCAGGGATCCATTTGTCCTACTGCCGCCCAAGACAAGCCTCATATGCAAGTTCCCTTTGCTTACTAAAATGACCACCCACCAACAGAATGGCCTGCCTCTTTCTTCAGTCTCTCCCTGCCTTCCACCTTGGGGACCAATCTCAGATTACCCCCAGGAAGCTCCTAAGGAGGTTACAAGCCATCAGTGGTTGACTCTTGACTGTACCTGATTATTACTAACTGCTATAGATTTGTGTACTGCTAAAATTCATGTGTTGAAATCTTAACCTCAGAAGCTGACCTTATTTGGGGATAAGGTCATTATGGATGACCTTATGCTATATCTTATGCTATAGATTTGTGAACTGCTAAAATTCATGTGTTGAAATCTTAACCTCAGAAGCTGACCTTATTTGGGGATAAGGTCATTATGGATGTAATTAGTTAAATTGAGGTCATACTAGAGTAGGGTGGGCATCTAATCTAACATGACTGATATCCGTATAAAAAGGGGAAATTTGAACACAAAGACACACACACACAGTAAGAATGTCATGTGAAGATGAAGGTAGAGATGAGGTGATCCTTCTACAAGCCAAGGAATGCTGAAGATCACCAGGAAACCACCAGAAGCTAGGGGAGAAGCATGGATCAGATTCTCCCTCATGGACCTCAGAAGGAACTAAGCTGGACCTTGGACTTCTAGCCTCCAGAACCATGAGACAATAAAATTCTGCCATCCAGTTTGTAGTACTTTGTTTTGGCAGTCCTAGCAAACAAATACACTAACCTTCCAAGGTAAAAGCCCTAATCTCTGACACTTCCTCATTCCTGATCATGGTGCAAACCTAATCTCCTCTCATAGGTTAGAGAACTTTGTCACCTGTGACTTCTGTTTTTACTCAATCTCACACCAATTCTTAACCACCTTCTGTTGTTTTTCTAAAATATTTTTATTTATTTATTTTAGAGAGAGAGAATGTGAGCAGGGGAGAGGGGCAAAGGAAGAGAGAAAGAGAGGGAGAGAGAGAGAGAGAGAGAGAGATAGAGAGAATCTTAAACAGGTTCCATGCTCAGTGAGGAACCCAACATGGGGCTTGATCTCACTATCCTAGAATCATGAGACCTGAGCTGAAATCAAGAATCAGACACTTAACCAACAGAGCTACACAGGTGCCCCATTACATTTGAAATGTCTATTTCACTGCTACCCCTCCAGTCCCATTCTTTATCATCTCACAATTTAGTTATTATAACTGTTTCCTAATTGTCTCCCTGATGCCAACGTTATTTCCTTTATCCATTTTCCACATCACCATCAGATTAATCCTCCAGCTTCCCCATGTCCACAATTTCCATCAGAGTATACCTGCCTTTCCTTTTTTCTACTACAAAGCTTTCCCGTTCTTCTGCCCGCCTTTGAGTCTCTACCAAAAGCAAATGGAGGTCACTGACTCTCTTGCCATAGCGAACTACGAATAAATAGCCTCTGTCCTTATTTGGTAGTCTTTGTTTTTTGTTTTTTTCTACAGAATGAATAATGGAGGGAGAAAGGGATGGTTTTTCTAGTGGGTTTTTTTTTTTTTTTTTTTTTTTTCACTTAGTGGGATGTAAGCCTAGAGCTGCAAGCAGCTTCTTGGCTACTGTGTGGGGAAAGCCTGTCTGAGAACAATAGCAGCATGGAAATAATCAGAACAGGAAAGGGGGGCAGGAGAGCAAATCCTGATGATGCTGTTTGAGATCTTGGCTCCATCTGTGGCCAAAGTCAGCACTACTTCTGGACTTCTCAGTTTTATGAGCCAGTGCACTCCTGTCTTCCATTTGCTGCTCTGACTTTCTGTGGCTTGCAACCAAATGAGTTCTGAGCAATAGAATCTCCTTTTTCAGCTCTTCTGTCCCCCTTAGAATAAGGGGGGAGAGCTGTTTCTATAGTCAGGTGGAGAGGGAGGACTGAAAGCCCCGACCACTTGAACCCTGGCCTAGCAGAATCCCATGAGTGTTGCACAGTCCGCTGTTCTGTCCCAAAGTTGGGCCCCAAGGTCACAGGTTCTTAGTTCACTGTCCTCAGTTCTCAGCCACTGTTCGTCAGCGCGGGACACACAAGAATAGCTGGACCCAGAGAGATTCCCAGTTTTAGCTACGTGCCGTATTCAAACAAGCGTCTCCATAGAACTGTAGGCTCTTATATTAAGCCTTATATTAGGCTCTTATATTAAGCTCTTATATTTCCAAACACTGTCCACCTCTTGGTAAGTTCCTTACCAGTGAAGGGTTACTCAGTTTAACCCAGAAAAATTTTCTGAATTTCAAATCTTGGGACTTTTATTTCCTTTCCTACCAAAAGGCTCTGGGCTTCTATATAAATCAGTCCATTCCCCTCCAGGGTGCCACATACCACAGTACCTTTAGTTGTTATTCAGTTTATATCAAGTAACAAAATCTTCCCTTCCCCAGGACAAAAGTATGCATTTATATTTGTATACCAAAAGAAGCCATTTAAGTGACTTTGCTGAATACAGAAAATCTGCTCTTAGATGACTTTGCCTCTGCTTATTCAGAGAAGCAGCTTCTGTGGTTTAAAAAAAGTAAAAAAAAAAAAAAGCAAAATAAAAAAGCTCTTATTTCCCAGTTACCACTCTGAACAATTTCTGCTTGTCAGGCTGGTGTCTGTCACCAAATCCCAGCTTCTGGGCCTTTGCACAGGCTGTCCCACAGATTAACCTTTCTGTTTTTGGAATCCTATAACCCAGGACTACACTATTGATTAATTAAATCATCATTTGCTTTCTCATTCTTTCATAAATATTAGAATTTTCTCTTAACTAGTGTTCACATTTTTTGAGGACCAGAATCCTACTTTCCTTGTATATTTTTTAGCTCCAAGCATTGGTGAGTGGATGACAATGGATAATCAAATATCTTTTGTAACAACTGGTACTTCCGATACTTGTATTTTCATACAAGGTGATGCAACATAAGCAATTAAATCTGTTTGAAGGCTATAAACATTGTCATTGTAAACATTATGAGTATTTTAATTTTTAAATACCTTTAATCATACATTCATTTTGAAAACTAGATTTTATTTCTGTGTCACGGTTAGAAAAACAGTATTTTTTGTGCATTTCTAAAATTAGCATTCAGAAATTTTACATGTAAATTAACTTTAATATACCTTATTAATTTTGAATTCTCTACCCCAAACTTAAAATATAAAACTGATGCACTATTGATGATCCCAAACTGTAAAGTTCCTAGTTACCTTCCTCTTTATCTTCCCAATAAAAAATGTTTGTGAAAAATAAAACATTTAAAAGATACATTTTAAAAGTAATTTCAGCTTGTGCAAAAGTCAAATGGCTTAAAATTTCGTTTAATTGAATATTTCTTTTCTGATGCTAAGGTGAATATACAGTTTGATGTTAATACAACAAAAACTTTCTTGTGTGTAAACATTCCTTCTTTAACTGGTTCCCTCCTTTGGAAGTGTATCCACCTCTGCTAATGTGTTCAAGAGGAAATGGTAGGAGAATGGGACATTTCCAAGCTCTTAGATTTTCCATCTGGTTAGTGGCTCACTTTGGACAGCTAAAGTGAGGGGATCAGTTACCCCTTCTAGTTTTCAATAGGTTTATTCATATGAGTGTCAATAGGTTTATTCATATTAGTTATATATAAACTCACATGTGAGTTTATATATATTCCTGAATTGACATACAATGTATAGTTATTACACATCAGGGACTTTTATGGTAAATATAAGATTTAAATTTCTTTTGCTGACTTTCCTTTAACAATAACATATGAAAAAAAACCAAACTCTTACTTCGAGATCTGAAATTTTAGACTGCTTTTCCATTTCTTCAGCTCCTAATAAGCACTAAGAAGCAATTTGCATCAATTCGCCACCTACTCCTTGGCATCCCCAATTCCTCCGGCAGTTATTGCGAAGGTGGCTTCATTTTCAGGCATCTCTGGGCTAACAGAATACAAGGGAACAGAAGTTTATAAAAAGCTCCATTTCTATAAATACCATATTTATGTCACAGGCATCACACTCCTATCAGTCTGAGTCTCCAGAGAGAGACATTTCAGAGTTGCTAGAGCTAAATGTGGACTGCAGAAATTTACCTACAAGTATTATCAACCCTCACAAAGACTTACTGAACAACTTCCATTTGCAAGGTTCTGAATATCAAGAAAAAGTCCCCCAAACTCGGAAATAGGCAGAAGGAATAACTAGGAGTTCCTTCAGTATACTCTCAGGCATTGTGTAGCAGGCCTTTAGGGGCCCAATGAAGGGGATGTGTGCATTTCTACTGACTAAACTAGAGCAGGAGAAAACTGAAAGGCTTTGAAGTGAACTGAAAGATTACTGAGCACCTTCGATGGAAAAGTAGGTTGGGACACCTTGGTGGCTCAGTTGGTTGAGTGTCTGACTTTGGTTCAGGTCATGATCTTGCTGTCTGTGGGTTCAAGCCCCGCTTCGAGCTCTGTGCAGACAGCTCAGAGCTCAAAGCTTGGAGCCTGCTTTGGATTCTGTGTCTCCCTCTCTGCCTTTCCTCCACAAGTACTCTCTCTCTCTCTGTCTCTCAACAATTAATGAACATTAAACAAAATTAAAAAAGAAAAGAAAAATAGGTTGCTCAACACACCCTCCCTGGTTCCCCAGTTCTGTGAGGACTCTGCCTTTCGTGGTCTTTGAGCTACTTTACAACTCTGTAAGTTGTAGGTAACTAAGAGTAATACAAATTATTCTTGTCCATAGAAAAGTAAATTGTATGAGGAGGAAGGCAATTGATTGTTGTCCTATGGATACTGACCTGCTTTTGATCAACTTATAGTTCATGTTAGCATTCCTTATTTGGTTCCATATGTGTGCTCATTTGATTTTTTCTTTAATCTGCTTATAAAATCGTATTGGTGCCTGCATTAATTAACGAGTTAAATAAAATCTTTGACATTTCATGTTTGTATGTGATTATATGGTCTTTAAAATTTTATCTTTTAATTTATTCGACAACGCCGTAGGAGTTGGGGTTAATTTGTAGGAAACTGAGAGCAATGCAGATGGCTCTTGTCTGAGGACAATGCAGATGATGCCAGGCTACAGCACCAGAATCACTGGGTAGAGAAGCAACTGATTTCCCTCCAGTAGAAAAGACAACTTCAAATGTTATAATCTATCACCTTGTAGGATATTAACCAGTTTTCCATCTATTTGCAAATTTATTTCAACATTCTTTTGATTGACTGCATAAATCTCTGTCAAATTAATTGAATCAATTTCTTCATCAATTAAGGAATTGAAGCAAGCCTTGGACATATGTTTTATATTTATTTGCAAGAAGGTCATGGACTTGTGAAAATCATACCTTATTATGTACTAGATCTTACAGATTTCACAAAAATGAGACAGAATCCTTACTCTCAAGAAGTCTAACAGGTGAGGGGTGCTTGGGTGGCTCAGTTGGTTAAGCATGCAACTATGGCTCAGGTTACGATCTCATAGGTCATGAGCAGGTGCCTCACTTCAGGGTGAGTGAGCTTGAGCCCTGCTTTGGATGAGCATGAGCCTGGCTTCTCTCTCTCTCTCTCTCTCAAAAAAAAAAAATCTAATAGGTGAACTGTGACAAATGACAAATATGCAAAGTAGGGGAAATTTCACAAAGTCAATATATATATTATAGAACTCTAAAGAGAGGAGATATTATCCCAACTAGGTTAATTAGGAAAGGCCTCATAGATAATAACTGAAGAGGCTTTTGAGGCAGAAATGGGTGGTATTCCAAGTAGAGGGAATAGCATGAACAAAAAAACTGTAATACAGATACTTGTTTTGTAGATAAGAAAGAGAAGAATAAGAAGTTAGATTTAGATATGTTCCATTTAAAGTACCTGTGAGATACTCCTGTAGCAGAGTTCTGAAAGCAGTTGGAAATGAATACCTAAAGCTTGAGTAAAAGGCTAAATAAGAAATAAAAAATTGAAAATCACTGATCACAAGAGAAAGAGCCTACTGCTACTTTGTGCTGTTATTATATCCAGGTTGTGGTGACTGTTTAGTAATATTAATAGTTTTCATTTATTAAGTATTTACTAGTTTATTCCAGGCTCCTTTATATTCTTTTATTTAAACCTTATGAAAACCCTTGGGTATGGATTGTTATCCACATTTTACAGAGGAGAAGATTGAGGTTCAGAGAGAAGTAATTTGCCCAAGGGCACACTGCTGGTAAATGAAGATGCCAGATTAGAGACTAAGGTATTTGACTCCAAAGCTCATGGTTTTTTTTTTTTTTTTTTTTTTGTATTTTTTTTTTGTTGTTTTTTTTTTGAGAGAGAGAATCCCAAGCAGGCTTGTGCCGTCAGGGCAGAGCCTGATGTGGGGCTCAAACTCATAACTGTGAGATCATGACCTGAGCTGAAATCAACAGTGAGATGCTTAACCGATGCCCCCAAAACTCAAGTTCTTAACCACTAGGCTAAATTGCCTCTCAAAGCTGGTTTTTGTTTTTTAATTTTGTTTGTTCTGTTTTATTTTGTGAGAGGGGTAGAGATGAGGCTGTATGCTCCGAGCATACCGTGGGTCAGGTAAATAAGGCTTGCTAAGCTAAAACTAGAGCTGGCAAGAAGGCCTGGACAGAATCAGAAAAGAACCTTTGATGGCAAATACTCCGTTGGCCACTTATAAATGGCAGGAAGATAAGGAGATGAGAAAGAGGGAAGGCTAGAAAGTTATCTACAAAGTTGAACTGGTGGTTTTTTGTTTTTTTGTTTTGTTTTGTTTTTTTTTACTTAAGATGTTTCAGGTTTTACTGGTTTTACTGCAGGTGTTTCAATTACTTCAGAAACTTGGCCATTTGGGTACCTTTTCAACTTTTGGTAATTATTTAAAATTTGCTTTTCCTTTGAATTCAGCAGGATTCTTTGTTTTTTTTTTTTTTTTTTAATGTTTTNTAATGTTTTATTTATTTCTAAGAGAGAGAGAGAGAGAGAGACAGCGTGAGCAGGGGAGGGTCAGAGAGAGAGGGAGTCACAGACTCTGAAACAGCCTCCAGGCTTCGAGCTGGCAGTCAGCACAGAGCCCGACGCGGGGCTCGAACCCACGAACTGTGAGATCATGACCTAAGCGAAAGTCGGACGCTTAACCGACTAAGCCACCCAGACGCCCCAGGATTCTTTGTTTTTACTGTCCACTGACCTCAGATGTGCTAAGCAGAATAAAATAAATAGGGTTTTCTTCACTTAAAAGCTTGAAAGGGAGAAAAATGCAGACTTGGGGGCCAGCAAGAGTTACTTATGGGAGCAGTGAGTGTAGTGACATCCTACAGAAAGAATTGAGTCCCTTTTTGTAGTCACTCTTGTACCTCTGGGAATTCTTCTGATAACCCCTTTTTGCTCAATTCCTTAAGAATTTTGTGTTTCCTCTGAGCAGGAAATGCCTTTCTATTACATCTGTATAAGAAAGTAGTTGAGGCCCTGGGAGTAGCTATAGCAGACTAGCTATGACTGTCCTAAGTAGATCATCTTCAACAGACTAAAAAATAGTGTAATGATTAAAAGTTTCGGCCCTAGGAGTACCTGGGCAGCTCAGTCAGTTGGGGGTCTGACTCTTGATTTCATAATCTCACAGTTTGTGAGTTCAAGCCCCATGTCAGGCTCAGTGCTGACAGCATGGAGCCTGCCTGGGATTCTCTCTCTCCCTCTCTCTCTGTCCTTTCCCTGCTCGTGCATGCACTCCCTCTCAAAATAAACTACTAAATACATACACACACACACACATAAAAGTGTTAGCCCTAGATTCAGACAGCGCAGATTCTAATCCTGGTTCAAACTTTTATTGATTGTGTGATTTCAGGGGAGTCAGTTTATTTTCTCATTAAGAAAATATTTATTGAGCACCTGCTATATCCTTGTTGTAGGTGCTTGAGATCTAAAACTGAAAAAAATAGACAAAGATTCCTGCCTTTGTGGAACTCATATTTGGTGAGAAGAAGAAACAGATAATAATTAATGAACATAATAAATACATTATATGTTAGAAGATGATGAGTATTACGGGGAAAGAAAAAAGTAGAACTGGGTGAGGGAGATGACTATGGAAACTGGGAGAAATTGCAGTTTTCAACAGGGAGATCTAGACAGGTATTGTGGAGAAGGTAACATTTGGTCAAAGACTTGAAGGAGGCGAAACTGGTAACCAGAATGAGGGTTATGTGGGGAAAGAAAATTCTAGGCAGGGATAACGCTAAGTGCAAGGCCCCTAAAGTAGAAGAAGTGTGTCTGGCATGTGTCTAACAGCAGAGTGCCCACTGAGGTTGCAGTGCTGTGAGAAGGAGGAGAACAGGGGCAACAGGATGGGGACATTCGCAGAGAGCTCTGGAAACCACTGTAGGGACTCAAGCTTTTATTAAAATGGGGGGCCACTGGAGGGTTTAAAGCAGAGGTCAGATATGATCTGACTTAATCTTACAAAGGATCACTCTGGCTTCTATGTTTAAAATATATCGTAAGTGCGCCTGGGTGGCTCAGTCGGTCAAGGGTCTGACTCTTGATTTTGGCTTAGGTCATGATCTCACAGTTAATGGGTTTGAGGCCTGCATTGGGCTCTGCACTGACAGTTGGTCGCCTGCTTGGGATTCTCTCCCTCTCTCCGTCTCTCTCAGAATGAATAAATAAAGTTAAAAAAAAAACAATAAGAAACTAAAACAGACTGCAGAGAGGCAATGGTTACCTAACTGTTTCTTCATGTGGAAAATATGGATAAGGACTTCCATCTCTTAGGGTTGTTGATATAAATGATGAAATATATATATATATATATATATATATATAGGACATAGCAGCCACTCAATAAGTATTAGTTACCATTATTAGCATCATCATCTTCTCAACCAAAAAGTTGTCTTTAAAGTCAAGAATTCTTTGTGGGAAATTTTTAGGGACCAGAAAGAAGGGAGGACAAAGTGCATAGCAAATTGAGTTTTGACATTTTAAGCTCTGATCTAGTTTTGCTGTTTTTATTCAAATTTATGGAAATTTGACATTACTAACCTCTATGATAACTTTGATTACCCTTTATTGAGTATGCAGAACCCTAGTAAGACTGTAGAACTGCAGGAGTTATTTGTTCCTGCAAATAGGGAGGAGTTGATAAAATATGCAAACAATAGAACATATAGATGAAGTTCACTCATTTGTTAACTCAACAAATGGTTATTGAGTTCCTACTATGTGTCAAGTACCATGTTAGGTGCTGGGGACATTGATGAACCAGACTCAGTTCCTATTGTGAGGGAGCAGTACATGTGGCCCGCTGGTGCAATTCAGAGTGAAAAGTGTTTAGGGAAAGTTCTAAGCACAGGGATCTGTCTAAGATATAGACCAAGAAATTTATATCTGTAGAAAGATGGAACAATCCTACTACCTATTTAATTCAATAAAGAACACTTAGATTGCTGAAGGTCCATAAAACACAGCCTTGGTATATCGTAGCTTCTAAGGACAGGTCATGAAAAAATGGTCTAAATAAAAATCAGATAGATGGGGGAACTGATTATTTAATATTTATTCAATTACAGGTCATAATATGTACTGTGATTTAGGGGTGCCTGGGTGGTTCAGTCGGTTGGGTGTCTGACTTCAGCTCGGGTCATGATCTCATGGTCTGTGAGTTCAAGCCCCATGTCGGCCTCTGTGCTGACAGCTCAGAACCTGGAGCCCGCTTCAGATTCTGTGTCTCCCTCTCTCTCTGCCCCTCCCCTGCTCATACTCTGTCTCTCTCTCAAAGATAAAATAAAAAACATTAAAAAATATTTTTTTAAATTTTTAAAAATATTTTTATTTATTTCTAGGAGAGAGAGAGAGAGAGAGACAGCGTGAGCAGGGGAGGGTCAGAGAGAGAGGGAGACACAGACTCCGAAATAGGCTCCAGGCTCTGAGCTGGCAGTCAGCACAGAGCCTGACGCGGGGCTCGAACCCACGAACTGCGAGATCATGACCTAAGTGAAAGTCGGCCGCTTAACCGACTAAGCCACCCAGGCGCCCCTAAAAAATATTTTTAAATAAAATAAAATAAAAATAAGTACTGTGATTCATAGCAAAAACCAGATTAAGAGCTCATGTGGTGGGGCACCTAGGTGGCTCAGCCAGTCAAGCGTCCGACTTTCTCTCAGGTCATGATCTCATGGTTCATGGGTTCAGGCTCTGCATCGGGCTCCGTGCTGACAGCTCAGAGCCTGGAACCTGCTTCCAATTCTGTGTCTCCCTCTCCCTGCCCCTACCTGTCCCATACTCTGTCTCTCTCCCTCTCTCAAAAATAAATTAAAAAAAAAAAAGAGCTCATGTGATTTCCTTTTGGCTGATTTTCCCCCTTTGGGTAGAGTTACTACAAATCTTTGTCTTGTTGCTCAGGGTTGGCTAATCAGTCACAGATATTGTACATGATGACATCTCAGGCACTGAGGGAACACAGCAGTGAGCAAGAGAATCGCATCCTCTATCCTTGGGGAATTTGCTGTCTAGCATAGATGACATACATTATATAAATCATTACCAATGGAATATAAGCTTGATGAGGGTAGGGCCTTGTCTTTTTGTTTTAGTCACTGTTCTATCCCCCGAACCTAGAATAGTTGGTGTGTAGTAGGTCTCTCTGTAAAAATTTATTGTTTATAATATTTAATTAAATAAGCAAAGTACTGCAAAAGAATATAAAGCATAGTATAGGGTACAGCCTAGACTGTAAGAGTTAGGGAAAGATTCCCTGAGGAAGTGATGTTTAAACTGAAACCTAAAAACAAAATAAAACAAAACCTGGCAGAAGAAGACTATATCTCTATCATATTCTGTACTTTCCCTGCACAGACACAATTCAGTTGGAATTGATTCTTTCATCATCTAGGTTTACTGTAAGCTTGGGGAGGTCAGGGGACAAGTCTGTGTATCAACAGAATCTCTGAATCCCTAGAACCTAGTCCATAGTAGGGACTTCACAATGAAGTGAATACTTTTTGAGAAAGAAATTCAAGCATGTAGTATTTGCCAGTGGCATAATTATAGACTCTTAGGAGATGCAATCTTATTTAATGCCATATGCCCAAGTATCTGATTAAAAAGAAGAAAACACTGGGCGCCTGGGTGGCTCAGTCAGTTAAGCATCTGACTCTTGATTTCAGTTCAAGTCATGATCTCATGGTTTGTGAGATGGAGCCTTGCATCCAGCTCTGAGCTGACAGCATGAACCCTGCCTGGAATTTCTCTCTCTCTCTCTGCCCCTCCCCAGCTTGCTCTTTCTCTCTCTCTCTCTCAAAAAATAAACAAAAATTTAAAAAAAGAAAATATTTACCTGTCATAAATCTTGGCAATTCTCAGTTCTCCTCTTCCTTTTCTTAAGCTTATTCTTGTTGTTGAAGCATGAGCCAGAATATGTCCCCCGATGGGTTTTTTTGGGTCTGCCTGAAAACTGAATTAATAAAACACCGTTTCAGGAGTTTTTGAAGTTTATTTATTTATTTTGAGAGTCAGGGCACAAGTAGGGGAGTGGCAGAGAGAGAGAGAGGGAGAAAGAGAGAATCCCAAGCAGGCTCTACACTGTCAGTGCGTGGCCCAATGAGTGGCTCGAACTCCTGAACTATGAGATCATGACCTGAGCTAAAGTCAGACACTTAACGGACTGAGACATGCAGGTGCCCCTACAGCTTTTCAGGGTTTATCATATGGACTATATACAGTAAACTCTGCAATTACAAGGCAATTTTTCTGGGGAGAAGAGCAGGGGATGGGATAGGTGTGTGTTCTAGGCAAGCAGAGGCTCATTTGTTAACTATGCAGTAGGGCAGGGTTTGGAGCTGCTATATACCCCGTTACCATACACTTCAGACATTTGACAGTCCTATGATGAACTGTTTATGTTTTGATTAATTTTTTAAAAGGACAAACCACAAATAAAACATTATTCACTGTCTTAGGATAATTCTTGGGGGTAAGTGATTCTTCTTCTTTATAAAATACGAAGATTGAAATTATCTATTCATTTATTTATCAGAAATATTTATTAAGGGCCTACTATGTCCCAGGCATTATTCTAGTCTAATGAATAAGAAATACCCAGTTATCCTTATGAGGCCATGATGTCAATGAGAGCAGACTGAGAACCTTCTTCTTATTCATTAACTGTTATGTTCAATGTTGCACTCATTATGAATTTGCAGTGAGAATAATCTTGGAAATACCTGTCTCTTTATTACTTAAGCCTAAAGTTTATTCTTCTAAAATAGGATACAGAAAAGATAAGTTTTTACTACATCTGACCATATGAATTAAAATAATATATTACGACTGCAAGGTAGTTACAAATATTATTGATGCTCATCATGATACTCACTAGGGGACTAACATTCACTTGGCAAGAGGTGAAAGGTTCTCAGTAACCCTAATAGTGAACCCTTTACAAAAACCAAGCTGTAGAAATCCTCAATAAAATACTAGCAAACCAAATCTGGCAGCATATTAAAAGGATTACACACCGCGACCAAGTAGGATGTACTTTAGGAATATAAGAGTGGTTCAATATAGGGAAGTCATCAGTGTAATATACAGTATCAATAGAATGAAGGGGAACCCCCCCCCCATAATCATCCCAGCTGATGCAAAAGAAAACCTAGGCTTTGAAATCATCAATAAGGGGAACTGAATATAAACTAGTAAGTTATACTTGATCAAAATAAACTATGACATAGCATAATAACCTCAGCCCTGGGAGAATACGGTTACAAGTCCATTTAAATTCTGCTTGTTCCATGATGGTGTTTAGGATTCTAGTTACTCTAAGCATGAGGATGAGATAGCAGGATGTGGCTGACTGGCATGAGGTTAAATGGATTGGCAGGCGGTGGGGATAAGAAGCTCTTTGGGAAAGGAGACTGCTGTTACAAACTGCTGCTAGGTTAAATGGCTCAGGGGCTAGGACCAGAAGACCCCTGGCTGGGGGCTGATAGGATTGGCTAAGATTCAGCAGGTCCAATGTTGGAACAAACACAGATCATTAGTTTTGGAGTGAACCACTGTCAAGAAAGTAGCAGCCAGACACAGTTAAGACTGACAGCAGTTAAGAAGTCAGAAGGCTTGGGGTACCCAGGTGGCTCAGTTGGTTAAGTGTCCGACTTGGTTTCGGCTCAGGTCATGATCTGTTTGTGAGTTCGAGCCCTGCATCGGGCTCTGTGCTGGCAGCGCGGCGCCTGCTTGGGATTCTCGTTTCTTCTCTCTCTGCCCCACCCCCACTTGCTCTGTCTCTGTTACTCTCAAAATAAATAAATAGACTTAAAAAATAAGTCAGAAAACTCTATACCACATCTTCTTTACCCATCCTCAGTTGGTGGACATTTGAGCTTTTCCCATAATTTGGCTGTTGTCAATAATGCTGCTATAAAATCAGGGTGCATGGCTTCCTTTGATTTAGTGTTTTTGTATCCTTTGAGTAAATACCTAGTAGTGCCATTTGCAACAATGTCGATGGAGCTGGAGAGTGTTATGCTAAGCAAAATAAGTCAGTCAGAGAAAGACAAATACCATATGATCACTCATATGTGGAATTTAAGAAACAAAACAAATGAGCAAATGGGGGAGAAAAAGAGAAGTAAACCAAGAAACAGACTCTTAACTATAGAAAGCAAACTGAAGTGCCCACGCGGGGCACTTCGTTGACAGTGTGGAGCCTGCTTGGGATTCTCTCTCTCTCCCTCTCTCTCTGCCCCTCCCCTGCTCATGCTCGCTCTTTGTCAAAATAAATAACCTTAAAAAAAAAGATTTAAAGAATGAACTGATGGCTACCAGAGGGAAGCTGGGGGGAGTGGATTAAGTAGGTGATGGGGATCAAGGAGTCCTCTTGTGATGGACACTGGGTGCTGTACGAACTGTTGAGTCAATAAATTCTACACCTGAAACTAATATTACATAGTATGTTAATTAAGTGGAATATAAAGAAAAACTTAAAAAAAAAGTCAAAAGGCTAGGTTGCTTTCTGCAAGGCAGTTGAAGGTATAAGAAGCAATAAAATGATCTCAGTTGGATAAAATAGCTGGAGCTGAGGTATCTGTATAATGCTTAGAGACCAATGCCACTCTTTTTTAATGGAATTAAATTGTCCAGATCATCCTACATTATCAGTGGTTCTTCAAGGTCTTAAAAGAGCCCTATGTTCTATACAGATAGGCTGCTTGAGATGTTGATGATATCAAACATATCAAGTTGTGCACTCTGAACTATACTTACACTTCCCTAATGTGCTTTTCGTGTTGTGCCCTTAGTGCTATTATTCATCTACTATATTCCCCCTCAATCTCTCTTCTGTTACCTGTTACTAAGCTCCTTAAGGGCAGACAAGACTGTATTTAACTTTGTAGTAACCAGCTACATACTGGGTCCTCAAAAATATTTTTGAGGGGTGTCTGGGTGGCTCAGTGGGTTAAGCGTCTGACTTCGGCTCCAGTCATGATCTCACGGTTCAAACTCACATAGGGCTTTGTGCTGATAGCTCAGAGCCTAGAGCCTGCTTCGGATTCTGTGTCTCCCTCTTTCTCTCTGCCCCTCGCCTGCTCACACACTCTCTCTCTCAAAAATAAACATTAAAAAAGTTTTTTTTTTGAACATAAGGTGTGGAAGTCACAAAAATATCAAGAAGAATATTGGACGATAGAAAGATTAGTGCTTCCACAGAAGTTAGTTCAATTAGAAATTTCCATCAAGGGGAGACAAGAAGGAGAGTAAGCTAAATGGGTGGGGAGAAGTTTCCACAGCTATGGCTACTGCTTCTCACAGCTGGTCTCTCAGTACTGCTTAGTAATTCTATACGAGCAGGCTTGGTCTCCTTAAGCCCCCTTTTCCATTCTTGTTCCTTCCTCTCAGATAACAATGCCTGCTTCTTTATAACAAAAAAAAAAATGAGGGCTCTCAGGAAGAAGCTCCCTCAACCTCCCCTTCTTTCTGCCATTTTCATACTTATCTACGATTGTACTCATCCTTCCTTCTTCCCTCTCAAACTTTTCTTTTTTCTTATTCCAAGTCCTCTCATACCTTGATGCCTTTGTACACACACTTCCCTGTAAATGAAAGCCCCTTCCCCACTGTGTTTGTTTGTTTACCCACTTGCCCACCAAGTGTCAGCCCTTCTTGGAAACCTTGCCTGATTCTCTGAAACAGAGTAGAGCCTGCCTTGTCTGTGCTCTCACTCCACCATATATTCCTCTTTTAAAGGACACTACATTGGAATTGGAATTTTTAATCTATGGGTCTCAGTCCCCTACTCTACTCCAAACCCTTATTCCTCTTTGTAATTCCAGTGCCTAGAAAAGTGCCTATAATGTAAAAAGCACAGAATAAATATTGTTGAATGAACAGAGAGGAGGACAATTTGGATTTCCCTGGTCTAGATCCTTTTGGATAGAGATTTGTGACACATCTTCAAAGAAGTTATAATTCAAGGAAATTTTGAAAGGTGTTCTCACAGAAAAGTAAATATAAAGGGAGATAGAATTTCTCTCTAACTGAAGTAATCCAACCCCACCTCGTTTCAGATAATTTAAAGAACAGGAAGGTGGAGCATTTAGATGTATAGCCATGTTTTTTTCTTAGCAAATTATTGTTTGCTGTTACCAGTGTGGTACCTTATGCACAAAAGAGAATAGGTACTACTGCTTGTTACTGATTACTGGAGGTGAGGAGCCTGAATGTTAAGAATGTTACCTCCAAAGGGAGATGATTTCGAATGAACTAAATGGGGAAATAAATTACAGAATGTCAAACGTACTAGGAAAACATATAGAAAAGATATTATGGGAAGAAAAATGTCCTCAGAAATGATTCATAAACTAAGAGGTTATATGCAATCAAATTAGATTTTAACATACCATAACAGCCTTAGCTCTGGGAGCATATCAAGCCAATTCAAATTCTACTTGCTTCATCTCGGTGTTCAGGATTCTGTGTAGAATTTTGCATAGAATTTAAGCTCTTAACCTTTCTTATAACACTTTGCTAATTTAGTAAAAGATATAGACTCTTCCCCAGAAAAAATGTACATATGTACTTACACAAACTTTTCATGTGAGTTTAAGGGATTCATGGTTTCTCTCTCCTCTGGGTATTAGTAATAGTAATAAGAGTTAAGATTTATTGAATCCTTACTATGTGGCAGATGCTCTTCTTAACTTATCCAGTGACTTCCTTTTGCTTCAATTCCATATTTAGCAAATAACTTTGGGTTAAAATTTGAATTCCTAGAGAGGTCTGCCTACAAGGAGAGAATGCACTGGTTATAAGAACCTCGAATGTGGTTACATTTTTCGTTATCAGTTAACTGGCCCTCTGATCCCTCCTCCATGAAGGAGTCTCTTGAGCTTGATTAATGTGAGTCTGCCCCTGAGAAATAGATTGGTTCTCAGTAGGCAACCAAATTAAATCTCTGCC